AAGAGAAAAGAAGAAGTAGAGAAAAAGGAGGAGCAACTAATGAAGAGACCATATTGAACGATCTAATCTATTGATGCATTGTAGAAACTTAGTACAAGTATATAGTATACAACAGTTTCCTTCATAACATTAAGACTATTTACTACACTTTCAGCTGGGTACAGGTGTATAACTCTTAAAATACTCGTATGAGATACTCAAAGAGAGATCATACAATATTTTTGTACAATAAAAGTTGTTATTGAATAACTGATGAGATTCACCATTCAAAAATATTATCTCAATCACATTTATGAAAATAGCTGTCTTCGACTGGACAAGCGTTGGAGAGCAAATTAACAACGGTTGTGATGCAACCTTGCGCTAGCATGTTCTTTGACGCTACTTTCTTTGATGGATAAGTTCTTCATGTGATTCTGAGGTCTTTAATGAGGTCTCCGCATACTCTCTTCAACTCAATAACTCTATTATTACATGTAAATTTTTTGAAAAGAGAGCTGTTTTCTAGGATAGCGTGCAGAGAAATGGTGTCTCCAAAACATATACAAATATAAACTTAGCAACCCTCTTCAAAAATCTGTGTATCGGCAATGTCTTCCAATCGTTGACATTTTTCATGACACTACGCCTCTGGCTTTTTTTGACATAATGGTGAATAAACTCTATTCGCTAGATTGCTGAACAGTTTCGACGTCATCAGTATGAATTTGATGAATGTAAAGTCCTCAGCTACGTTGTCAAGCATCTTTTTTGCGACCGATACTTGACGTCATTTTTCTAAAAAATTCAAGTCTTTTGCATCAACCATCAACAGAGGAAATATGGCTCATGCCGAAATAGTATATCAATATAAGACCTCCCTTTCGATTACTCTTGGTTTCACTAGTTGATTATTCAAAACTTATTAAAAAATCAAGAGAACAGTCTCAGTTTAGTCAAATACCTCAAGCCAAATTATCACGCTTTCGGGTTTGGCATAGTTCTTGCAATAAGAACAAAATATATCTGCCTTGCAGGCTTCACATATCGCATATAGAGCTCAGCTTCTTTTCAAAGAAATATTGTGCAATATTCCAGCCATCCATGGCTCCCACCACCCCCTTTATAGTCTTAGCGACCTTTACACTTCACAAAAGGATAAATAAGCTACATATTATGTCTCTCTGATGGCATACTACTGCAAATACACATATCTATATAAATACGAGTATGTACTCATATGTACATATGTACATATATCTGCCATGTGATTAATGCGCACGCAATTTTGTGGTTTATTTTACCGTCAATCAACTTGTGTGCAGTGACACAGAATCATTCATTTCGCTTTCACTTGAATCGACGGGGCAGACCGCAAAATTATTTATCGCACAGACATACGCACATACATATATGCTTCCGGGTAACGGCGCCACAAAGCCACCACCGCGCCGTAACGATTGCGCTTTTCGCACTGAAATTAAAAAGAAATACAGACATAATCACCGAAATCGCACACCAATTGACACAAACGACTGCCCAGAGCGCCACCGGCTTGGAGCTGTGAGCCTGCCTTTAGTCCTCGATGATGCGGAAAATTATAAAAAGTAATGATTGCAGCCATTGGGGATTTTTTTGCGCAATTCTTACTAATTGTTATCGCCAACAAACGTTTTTTTATTCTTTTTTTGTTGTTGTATTTTTTTTTTTTTTCTTCTTTGCATTGCTGATTAATAACAAATTGCTTGCGCGCTCAACTGCTACGGTGGCGATGTAGGAAGAGCAAAACAATAAGCATAAAAAATTTAATCAAATATCCAGCGCTAATGGGGACATTGTTTAGTGAACAAATTTAAAAATAAAATACAACAAAAAAATATATATATTTATTTATATAAATACAAATAAACAAAAGCGCTCTATAAGCGAAATGGGAAAGCATGACACAGCTAATGGAAAAATAAATAAATATTTGCAGAGCCCACACATTAAGAAGCGCTTAGAGTTTGTTTTTGTTGTTATTTGCGTGGTACCCTGTTGCTTCGTCGCATGCGAAATAAGCAATTTCTAAAATTTTTATTATTTATTCGCTTTATTTGCCGAACATGCTAAAAGGAAACACATAAACATTATATACGTATATGTATGTGTGTATGTATATACGTATATGTAAATATTTATTTGTGTATTTAGGCGCTGGCGACCAATACAAATAAATGTAGAAATAATGCTAATATTGTTTGGGTAGTAAAAAGCCTATTGAGGTGCGCAAATACCTAAAGGGCACCAAAAAAAAACATACACACAAGCACATATATGTATGTATAAGCACACACGAAAAACTCAAAAAGCTAGCAGCAACTGTTAGCGCCTAAAGTGGAAAAAGAGCAAAGTTATTAAGCAACACTCATATTATATATACATCCTAGCACACATGAACACACGTGCATACCTTACAAAAAGCACACACTCCTCATAAAGCCACACGCGTACACACACCCACACTTTTGCAAAATGTTTACCTCAAACTCTCAGCTTCTCATTGGCGTTAAGTTGGCAAACCACAAAAGCTGGTTTACACTATATTCTCTTGGCTTTACCGCTTTTTTCGGCCTACTACAGAGCACGCAACCTGCCAACAACAACACCAAGAACAACATCAACAAAAATAGCAGCAACAACACCAGCATCAGTAACAACACCAGGAACATTATCAGCGCACCCTCACTACAGTTATGAAAGTTGTAACTAACGCACACCACCAACCTGCCCTGCTAACGGTACACAGCCCGAATATCCCCACTGAGAATATTAAAACGATGCCAGGCACTTGAGCGGCCGTGCGCTAAAAGCCACAGTCTCCATCTATAGATATGAGTAGATAGTGGTCCTTTGTACTTTTCATCCGACATATGGCGAGGGGCACACGTGCCAACGGGTGTGTAAATACAACATAGATATGTATAGTATATGATTTATATATACACATATGTACATAATGTCTACAAACTCGCAAATATGGGACTTTATGTAATCCTGTAGAAGTAAGGTGAACTTGTGGAACACTTTTCTGGTACTGTAATATTCCATGTGAGAAAAAATACATCATTGGTTACCGGTTTTTGCTATGAAACTGAATCATTTCCTATTCTTGATTACCTTATTGATTTTTTTGATGCACCTATAATAGTTGAAAAGGTATTCCTACTACCGACTATGAAATTTATTCAAAACTAGAAGTTATTTTCTTTTAAAATTATATATTTCAATGAAGAGAAGCTATCTGTTCAACTGGCATGTTGCTCATAGTCATATTTTGTTATTGCCAATTTATATCCATGCCAGTAAATAAATGTTTAGATTGACACTTACATATTCTGATACTTTATTTACTACCCAACTGCTTTTGGAAACTATTTCAGTAACTTTCAGCATATAAAGCTTTAGAGGAACCTTTAAAATTTAAAGGTAAAAGCAAAACAGCTTCACCTAGACTTACTATCGATCTTTCTATTTGAAAGAAAACGAGAGGATAATAGTAATTTATGATAGTCACTCAAATATTATTAATTTATTTTTTAGAATCTTTGAAGAATCAAGCTTTTATCATTAATTCTTCGGTTCACTCGGTAAGTCAAGAGTTCCTAAGCGATCTTCGGCAGTACGGGTTATATTAGAGAATATATGAGCTTTTATATACAGGCATATAAGCTTATCAAAAGCACAAAGCATGAAAGCTAATAGGAAATAAACTCATTTAAAAAAATAATAATAAAAATTGAGAAGAGAACCACAGCAGGCAGTCTCTAGCGTACCGCGATCTAGCTAAGCTACTTAAAACCTGTGTTTTTTGAGACGCTTTGCACTCTAAGTCTAGTCATATAAGCTTATCAAAAGCAGAAAGCTCGAAAGCTTATAAAAAAGGTCATTTAAATAAATAAGGAAACAAAATAAAAATTTAGATGAGAACCACAGCAGCCAGGATCTAGCGTACCACGATCGAGTTAAGCTGCTAAAAAGCTTGTTCTCTCCGAAGCTTTGCTTACTAACTTCAATATTTTCTGTATTTTTGTTTTTTTGCCTTTAGATAATTTATGTTATTCATGACATCCCATAAAGATTCTAGGGCAATTACGGCTGCATCTGGCAACCCTACTAAGGCCACTTTTAAAGTATCAGAAAATATTCTAACAAACACTGTAATTATTCCTCGGCCGCCACATTTTAACCCGTTGTAAACGCATACCCCATTGGGTTCATGTTGAAGTTAGCGCGGCCTCACAGACATAAAATATATATTTTTACTGTTATGGATATATATAAAAATTTATGAAACATTGCCATTTTTACATTTATACATTGGTTATAGCGATTTTCATTCAGAAATTCCTGACCCAAGTTGTGTCATATAAAATGCAATAAAAAGTAAAAAATCCGTTATAAATTCTCGCTGCTCTTTGCAAACCACATACACATGTATATGTATACACCCATCTATAAGTGTGTGATAAAAAAATATATATCATTCCCTTGAGTTTATCTACGTGGTTGTGGGTTAGTGAAGTCGACTGACAAGCTTTTGCGAATACGAATATACGTATGAATGTGTGGGTGTAGAATATGTGTGCACACAGGCGCGCGTAGATAGTAGCTATTAGGGCACCACTGCAATTCACCGGTGAGTTCATCAAGTTTGCGGACAAACGTGTAAAAATGTGTGCATACGTTGATTTGTGGCTGATGTTTGAACAGGAAATTCCAACACATACACACACACATGCACAGCCATTTACTTTCATGATTTTTACGATGCAGGTGAATATGGAAAAAATTATAATAATTTGCTCTTTCAGGCAGAGATATGGATATTAAAATTTTAATGAATAGTCTTAAAGACGCTTTAAAGGCTTGTGATGTAAAGAGAAGAACATTTTTTTTTAGAATTATTTTTATAGTAGAAGGGGAAGTAATAGTATATAACTTACATAATATGCTTTTATACTTAAGAGCATCACACTTACCTATGCTTTCGAACCTTATTCCTTTTATTCTCGAGTTAACACTTTTCACATACTCATAAATTAAACACTAAAACACAGATCTGAAAAAAGAACAAAGTAATCGAAGAATTATAAAAGTTTTTGATTATTAATTAGAGATACATGTGTATTGAAAAATAATTTTCTATTTAAAGTTAAAGAAAGAAATGTTATTTGTTTTAATCGATTATAAAAGTATCGAGTTTTGCATACTAGCAAACCGTGACTATTTTTGATAAGAACAAAGGAGAAATGCAGATTAGGTTAGATTAGGTTTGATATCTCGTCTAGAGATCGCACTGGGACTACTATATGCAGTCCGTCAGTCAGTGTGAAGCCAATAAAAATAACCCATATATTCGAGCTTATAAGTCAGCCAAGCGCCTTGTGGCCGATAAAAATTTGCTCAGGTTTTTAATTGCTATTCCCACCACCCCGGTTGATCTCGCAAACGCAAGAAGGAAGTGCTGAGATGTTTACACTTTGTCTTTTTTCATGCAACTTCTCTTAACAGTTAGAACCCCATCATCTCTTACGATAGATCTTGGGTCAAAAGGATCTTACGACAGCGCACGAATCGATGGGAGCCCAGCGGTGGCCAAATTTCAGTGAACACACGAGAAGACGGGAACACCGATTCATTCCCATTCTGCTGATAGCGGGACTAGGGTAACCTTTCTTGCCAGCTAATCAGCTTTGCAGTTGTCAGCAATTCCGCTGTGACCTGACAACCACACAAGTCTTATCACAAAGTGACTCACTGCCCTTTATAAAGAGGTTAGGCATTCCATAACCAGCCTTAAACGCACAGTTAGTGAGCTCAAGTATCGCCGCCCTGCTATTAGAGAAGATAGTCACTTCTCTTAAGGAGGCTGCACTCCGGAGCAGTAAATCTACCGCTTCTCTAATGGCAGCAACCTCGATTTGAAAAACACTGCAATATTCAGGAAGTCTGAAACTGAATTTATAGAGAGTTCCGTAAACACATTGCGCCTCTCTTCCAATGCTTCTATCCACCCACAGCTGCCTCGCAGGTATGTTTGGTTTGCCGGCTCCATAATCCAAATGATCCGGTACAAAGTCTAAGCGTGTGAGGATCTCCGAATGTTCAGACATATGTTCATTTAAGAACCCAGATTCTCTGAGTCTGTTATTTTAATAATTCAACACCGGCGCCATCTAAAGTGATGTGATTTAGCTAACCAACCGTGAATAACAGACAAAAAAATCCAGATATGTTTATGATTTTTAGTAATGATTTGATTGTCATCATCTTTTGGAGAGCTTTATTACGCTTTCAAGCTTTTAAATAATTTTAAAAAGTTTCTTCTATGTATCGTTGAATAAAAAATGAGTCTCGATTGATTGAAATCACAAGTTTCATTAACTGTGTTTATATGTAATTCCATACTTTACACCAAAGGAATTTAAATAAAGCTTAACCTCTGCCTCTCTCGTCTATAGTCCGAACGCCTTCGACATACACCGATATACTGAAAGTGTGCTAGTTTAAAAATCAAACTACGTTACCAGACTAATTCTTTTAATTTCATCTGACTGACTTTGAATACCATTATTGAAATATAATCTCTATTCTTAGCTGAATAACAGTTAATTGATTCGTATGATTCTCGGAACTGCTCAAACTCCCAAATCTTGAAATGATCATACAGCTACAACTTGATACCAACCTAACCTTGATCTGACACCTGAAGCTAATGCAGCTGTGATAAATTCTTTTTAGTGCAATCTCTTGTAAGATATTGATTTTGTAAATAGCCGGTTACTGCAATAATGAAAATATAAATAAAAAAATATATATTTATTTTTTTGCTTTATTAAATTCAATCGAGATTCATGCCTAAGCTTGCGGGAAAAAATTGTCAAAATCGGTTTGGAAACCTACAACAGTCGACTTATCCGAGTAAATCGGAAACCAAAGAACGGCCTGTCTGTTCTCTCTTGTAAATACTATATAAGAATAAAGCTTTGAGTACGATCAATACGAATCAATCATGGATCGAGAAACTGTAGTCACTTTTCATTTGATGCAAAATTGGCATGAGATAGAAGTTCTTAAAATAGTGTAAAAAAAAAACGGAACATCAGCAGCTAATTTTATATTGAGTTGAGACACTGCCTCAATATAAAATTAGCTGCTGACTTTCCGTCTTTTTAACACTATACGATAATAGAACACCGAACATCACATAAATTTTTATGAGCTAGTATAACCCCTGAAGGAAACATAATTTTAGGTCACAACCTTCTAACAACAACCAGATCTATGAGAAAAGAGTTTAATCCTACATACCAGCTAAAGTAGGCTTATAAACTTCAAATAAATCAGTACTCTAAACCAATTTCAAAACGTATAAGACTTCAAAGAGAATATTATGCAATATGTAAATTCATTATTAATTTACCTGAGTGTACTTTCTATGAAAGTGCATTGAAAAATGCCATCATTAACTTCTACCATTACCCAATCAAATTTAAGTGAAATTGACGAGTTTAATTGGCAATATAAAATCAATTACGATAATTCATTATGAGCTATAAAATATGTTTGTATGTATGTATACAAATATGTATTAGCAAAGCGCGATGATTTTAATTAAAACTATTCAATTTGCTTGAAAAGTGGACCGGAATGATAAAAGCCAACAACAATTGGCACTCCGCAATAAAAATTAAATATAAATTTCAAATTAAAAAAACAAACATAATTTATTTATTATACAAACAATTACTTCCACAATATTTCATGTTCATAATCAAGTTAATTATTTTGGTATAATTTTCGCATTTAAATTCACCGTCAAATTACAATTCAATATACATTTGGCCGCTTGAGCCGCTTAACATTTGGCGGGCATTTTAATTGGCCACCGGAAAGCTGAGAGAAATTTTCACTTGAAATTTCAATACCATAAATCAACATGAGAAGTGCAGATAGATAGTAAAACAAAGACAAAGAACACCAAAACACAAAAACAAAGAGCACAAAAAAGTGCAAAAGACAAATTGAATGCGGCTAAGAAATGGCCGTTAAAGGGAAATGGCAAATGAAAAGAACAGAAAATAATTCAAAGCACTGCAAAAGTGCGCCACGATTGCTGCAACGCAATAAAAGTTGAAAGTACAGATTGGCCATGAGGTCCCGCTACGGCTGCTCTTCTGCCACTCGCCGTTGTGAATTTATGAATGAAATGTGTGAATATAAATCATTTTGAAAAATTCTCTACACTCCGTTGACTGCAGCGCCAGCTGCCATCAGTACAGTTGTCCCAGAATGCGAAGCGTTAAATTGCAAACAAACGGCCGAGAGCCTGAAGTAGTAACGTTATGCTAATGTTAAAAGCTTCGGAGTTGTTCGATTTAAATTACGTGCTTTTGATGCAAGAAAAATAGAAATTTTATATACTTCCAACAAATAAATATAACTTAGCTTAACTTCCAGAAGTTTGTCTGAGATTTCAAGTGCTCAATTTGTGCTGAACTGATAACTTCCAGCCTCTGAAGTTTGCCATATTGTTATATATTAATATGTAATTCTTTGTTTCACAAAATTTTCAAAGTATACTGTAAATAAATGTCAAAGATATATGTACACTTTGACAGCTATTCCTCTAGGGAATTTGATATTTTAAAAAAATTTACGTAAATATAACCCGTCAACTGTCAACAACTTCTTGGTTGTTCGTTTGAAGTTAAAAATTTTATCACGTTTACAGCTGGTAGTCTCTCCAACTTTATGGAAAATTCTGATAATTTTGGTCATATGTGAAATTTTATAGGGAGGAATAATTTTATCGAGGAAAATCGATAGAGTACGATGAGAATACCAGATAAGCGAAAGTAAGCCGGAGGCAGTATGGAAAAATCACACTATATGCGCTCAAAACTATGGTAGTCAAGGAGCATGACCTTGTTAGCAATAACATCAAGCTATTGTGTGGTTGACGTCTCAGCGGAATCACCGGAAACTGCAAAGCCGATAAGCTTGCTTGGAGAGCCTCAATTTGATCTGATTGGAAGCGAGTCGTTTTTCCGATGTAATCTTGAGTTCTAGCGCTGTACCTATGGACCGCCGTGAACTGGGCAAGCACTGGTGTGAGCAACTAGAACTTGTGCGAACCGTAAACTACTTGCTTTCAGCAAAGTCAATCTCGCCGCAGTTGTAGGTGTTGTGACTGAACACTATTCAAGAGGTTCACACGCGATGCGGCTAAATATTATGTCAGACGCCAATTTTCTTGCCCAATCTGTATTTAAGAAGGCGAGGTGGAATAATATTGCTAATTTCTCCCGTCTTGCCCGTCTGTTGGCAGACTGAGATTGAAGTAACTCGGTAGACTTACCTTCGTCGAACCTAGCGCTTAAAATTAGCCACCTAAAGAAATGTGTGGTAAGCTCAAAACACTTCGTCGATCGATGAGGATCTGATGATCTATTTTAGGAATTTATTGGTAACGCAAATAATGAACATCTGCCCCGGTTAGATTTATCGATTAGGCTCAACCCTACCTCAACCTTGACGTCGAAACTATCCAACAATCTAGCGAAGAGCGCTCAAAAAAAGAACCGACATCGAAAAAATACAAAATTCGCTGAAGACAATGAATGCTACCCTGGACTTTTAACAAATGTATGGAAAATTGAATACAGCATCAACATACTTGTATTGGCTCAGGAGGTTATTTTTAAGGCGATATTAAGAATTTGTATCAAAATATATAGTTTTTCCTTTGGTCAGTCTGGTTCAAATGTGATCAGATGGTATTTTATTATACAGTATGTGACTCTCAGTCTACCCGTGAGATAAAGTGTTAAAATTGCTGAATTCACTCCACTCTAAAGCATACTTTAAGGCGCCATAATAGTAAAAATAACGAGTTTATTAATATACTACGGCATCTATACATATATATATAGGTTGCAACAAATTTCGATTGAGTATGAGTGAAGAAAAGTCTTAAGAATGCAACAAAGAGTGATGTAGGCAACAAAAAACTACATAAAATCTGCTGAGACTACAGCAGCGGACAACAAAAAGCGC